CCTCACGATTTATGTGGACTCGAATTATGATTCTTAAGTAATATTTGTCATACTTTATTTGTTTTAAGTTTTGCTGTCTGGCTGGCTGGCTGGCATATGGGCAGCCAATTGCGCGGTGGTAACGTTACTCCGCAGATGTGCGCGGTGAGCCGGGTTCGTGCGTCAAGCTGACGTCGCCCCACCCAGCCTTCCACCCTGGCCATGTATCTCGTGTAAATACGCGGGCAGTGCTAGTATAATTGAATTACATTTTAATCGGTGTTGATTACATAATATGTATATTATATGGATTGGAACCACAAGGTCCTTGATAAAGAAAATGGAACAAAAGCTGAGATGTGCACAAAGCATGGAGAAGAGCGCAGGCCTGGATTTACAGCGACAGACAGGAACACAAAAAACCTACGAATATGAATAGAACACATGCATCAAATAACAAATGCAAGATGAAGAAAAAAAAGATGGAACAAAGCACTTATTCATATTCTTGGTTCTTTCGGTAAAGTCACATAGAAGGGAAATAATAAAATAATAAAAATAAAACATAATAAAATACAATTCTCACGACGTTTCGGCCACAACGCAAGCAGCCGTCCTCAGGTGAAGAACGGGTCTGTCGGAAAGACAGCGTCTGGATTTCAGACGTTGTCTTTCTGACAGACCTGTTCTGAAATTCAGACGCTGTCTTTCCGACAGACCTGTTCTTCACCTGAGGATGGCTGCTTGCGTTGTGGCCGAAACGTCGTGAGAATCGTATTTTATAATGTTTTCTTTTTATTATTTTATTATTTCCCTTCTACGTGACTTTACCGAAAGAACCAAGAAGATTAATCCCTGCAGTCACGAAAGCTTTAAATCGAAATTTAAAGCACTTATTATTGTTGTGCAACTGGCCGCCTAAATATAACGATTTGTGACCTTTAAAATGGAAGTATCACTTCAAAGCATTGGCATTCAATTTTAACCTGATGAGGAACGATAGAGTCCAGTTGAAGCTGAAAGAAGATGATGAATGTTAGTATTTAATAACTCAGGTGGCCGGGTACATAGTGCTGTGCGCTAAGCACTGCGCCACTGCCTCACCACAATTGGTGGTAGAAACTTTTACTGTCCACATTCCACCGTACTGATTTTCTCTTGAAGCAGTGTCATTGCGGAAGGGCATTTTAAATTTGTCAGGAGGGCATTCCAAACTCACAAGCTATGTTTATTATTCCGTTAAATTTGTACGTGTGTATGAGTACAAAAAAATGCTCATTCTGCTTAGCCATATATTTTAGGACACCTGTAAAGAAAAATAAATGTAATCTCACACAAGTTTTCCGACTGGAATTGTTAAAGGATACTTTTTAAGTCTCGTCTGAAAACACGTCTCATTTATTGTTTTATTTTTATTATTGTATTATTTCCCTTCTACGTGACTTTACCGAAAGAACCAAGAACATAAATCCCTGCAGTCACGGAAGCTTTACATCGAAATTTACGTCTCATTAAGTCAGTTTATTCTATTTAGCTTCTCTGTCTCTCTTGGCCTTTCCTTATCATTATTCTAACAAAGCGCCTCGAGAGATGAGTAGAAGGCGCCTTGCAAATAAATGTAAATTATTATTAAGGAGCAGCCAGGGGCAATGACTTGTTCATGCCACTGCTGATGAAAGGGCCTGCACGGGAGAGAGCTCTATAGAGCTCCTTTCGAGGATAATTTAGGCCTACTCTTCTATGCTGCCTTGAAAGAGGTAGGCGAACTCGCACGTACGCGACCTGCCGATCAACTACCTTGAAACATTTTAAACGAACAAAACTAAATAATAATAAAATATACTTTTGTCAATTTGTTTAAACAACATTGAACATTCAAGCCCCGTCTCTCACCATTCATTATCAGCCTCGCCTGTAGGTGTTTGTTTTCTGTTGTTTTTGTATCTGTGCTCACACGCCAATGGAGCCAGGGTCACGCTGCACTAAGGTCGCATAGCATTCCTTTTCGCACCTTCTCTGTCACGTCCACCCACCGTGTCCGAGTTTGCGTCAGAACCCAAGTCTCGTAAACGGCGAACAATCGTCAAAATTAAAACTCCACCTTCAGGCCCATTCAGCTTTACATCTGTTGGATCACATTAAGGGACTTTTAAAATGTTTTCTTGCTTATATTCCACCCTGGTTGCAACAACAACAAAAATCTAAGTAGAATAACAGAAAGTGGTTAAGCATTTCCATCTCTGAACCGTGGGTGCACTGGAGCCAAAACAATGTTCTTGCAATAAAGTTTGTGGGAATATGAAAACATTTTCCATATTTGTATGAGAGCTGCCCATCAGATAGCGTCTTGGACAGTAGCAAGCAGCAGATTCCGAAGCCTGATGTTGGCGCGCTTTCCTGGCTGGTGCGAACTTCATATGGCATGTTTTTCCAAAACGATGTTTGCAGGCCGGAGAAATCCACAAGCTGCGTTGGCCCTTGCGGTCTCGGCACTAACACAATGCATCGTTTGTTCCATCCGTGTCCCTGAACTCAATTAAAGTTGTTTCCTAAATAAAGAAAGCGAGCAAGTCTTTTTGGTGCAATGTTTGAGAAAAAGGTCGTTATCGTGAGAACGAACGTAGGCGCTCTCCACTCCGCTGAGGTGGTCACGTCTGGAAAGAAGGCTCGTGTAAACAAGTCGCTCTTTGGTGCAATGGAGACACGTGCTCGTGTGTACCAAAGGGCCACATCGAACTGAAAGCTCGAGTATTAAATCAGAAATGTCGCCTCCGATGTATTTAATACAACGACAAGGGGGAATGAGTTTGCATAGGATATCTTCTCGGCGGGATGGGAAACGGCAACAATCTCCTGCTGGTTTAATGAGACCAGCACGGAGATCGTAGCGTGATTCGATTTAATTGGCCAATTCCTCGCACTTAACTGAAGCCCCGTGTCTGCGATGAAGTTTGATGTCTCAATAAAAGTGCAGCGCTCGCTGAGCTCCAGACCCCGACCTGAAGAATAATGAAGCTTTTGTTGACCTAGAATCAATGCCGTAACTCTTCCTTTGGCGGGAACGTGGCATTTGTGCTCTTGCACGAGGCCTCCTGTCGATGGGCTCTTAAATTCCAGCACGCCACTTGCAAAACTGCGAATTTAGACTTAAGGATAAAAAAAAAATTGGTGCGTTCAGATTTTGGATTAGGCAGAGGTTCTACATTAACCCCTGGATGATTCCCCTTTTGAAATGAGACAATGCCACGGAAATTCCCAAATTCGCGAAGACGTGGTGTCATTATAAAAAGGCAATTGGAATGTAAAATATAAAGAATTGCTTTGATATCTCGATTTAAAGCTTTCGTGACTGCAGGGATTCATCTTCTTGGTTCTTTCGGTAAAGTCACGTAGAATGGAAATAATAAAATAATAAAAATAAAACATAATAAAATAATTCTCACGACGTTTCGGCCACAACGCAAGCAGCCGTCCTCAGGTGAAGACCAGGTCTGTCTCCCCGACTGTCTCCCCGACAGACCTGGTCTTCACCTGAGGACGGCTGCTTGCGTTGTGGCCGAAACGTCGTGAGAATTATTTTATTATGTTTTATTTTGATTATTTTATTATTTCCCTTCTACGTGACTTTACCGAAAAAACCAAGAAGATGCTTTGATATCGTAGAAACAATTGCTGAACACGTTTACTTTTATTCTGGAATTTTCTGCAACTAAAACCTGATTTATTTTACCTTTGTATATTAGTCAGGCTAGGTTTATCAATTAATCTTCGAATGGAAATCTTTTCACATTATGCTTTCAGAAATTTCAGTTTTTCCGACCAACTGCATAATCAATTCTGTTTGTGACGAAAGGTCGCAGTTTCCCCTCTGCCCTGGCTAGCGGCAATTGCCACGAACGTTTTAATTCATCCGTACAAATGTTTAATTTAAGTTTATTCTGTTTAACCAGGTGGGAATTCATGAAACCAAGATGAGTCTCATTTGCAAGAATGACCTGGGGCATTAGTCTACCAAGCCAGGAGCAATGATGATTCCTATTTATATTCCCGAAATGAGTAATTTGCAGGTTATTAGAAATTTGGCCAATTTTGACCATGACGCTGCTTTACTCTTTCGAATTGCGCCAGTGGATCTTTAACGTCCACTGGGAGCAGACGGCACGTAGTATTATTATCATCGTTGTCACAAGCGCACTAATAATCGGGGCGGCCACTGGTTTGAACCGTGAACCTCCGCAGCAAATGGTGAACGTGCTTCAACTGGACCGCCTCACCGCAAATGTATTATGAGCTATTTGTTAAGGACCGTGTCAAATATTTTTAGCATGAGGAAAATGTCTCTTTTAATTTTTTCATGTGCACCCATACAATGTTATCCCACATACGTTCGATACAATGTGGATTTACACAGGGTTTGAATGCAACTGTATCTCAAGACACTGTATAGACACGGTGGGCATATTCATTTTCTCGAGAGAGAGATGGTCGGTCGTCGGCAGAGGAGAAGAGGAAAGTTGAGCCTGGACTTGGACAGGGAGTCAACAGCACGAGTGTCTGAGGGAAGGGAGTTTCAGACCGGGGGTAGCAGAGGTGAATGAGCGACTTCCCACTGAGCGAACGTTGCCTGGCGGCTTCCAACAGGAATCCACGATGGTTGGAAGCGCTGAGTGGTGCGCCGAGGAGAGTGAGATGAGAGAGAGGTAGGAGAGTGTGAAGGGGACTACAGTGAGGTTAGGGGGAAGAGGTCGGACTGCGGTTAGGAGAGTAGAATACGAATAGAGGGGAGAGGTAGGAGAGTGCGCGACGGGGAGTAACGTGTGAGATTAGAGTGTAGAGAGACGTGGGCATGGCCAAGTTTGTGGAGGATCTTGAAGATGGCGAGTGCCATCTTCAAATTGACCTGGGTCTTGCATGCGGGTTGAGAGCCCTGCAACTGGCAACATGAAACAAAGTCACTGCTGCTGCCCCCCCACTTCCCGCCTCCTCTCCTCGCTCTGTTCACGCTCTCTGTGTGTGTCCAGATGATTGAGTCACTGCTGGAGGTGCGCACCAACCGGGGCCGGCTGATGCTCTACATCGAGCACCTCACCGAGCTGTGCCGCGAGCGTGACGGCGCCATCCTCGAGGGCTTTCCAGCGCTGCCGGGCGTCGGCAGCACAGGCGACGGGGGCAACGGGGAAACGAGGGCTCAAGAGGGCGAGGAGGAAGACGGAGACGGGGTCGTCACGGAGGAGAGGCTGCGGGCGCTTTCTCCTGACGAGGTAAGGCTGCGGGCACTTTCTCCTGACGAGGTAACGCTCCGAGCGTTGCGCTCGAAGCACAGCACATTTCTTTTTTGTTTGACCAGGTAAGGCCCACTGAGCTATGTAAAGTCTTAATCAGAAGCGACCTGGCCACACATGACGGCTCAACGATGTGGCTCATCATGTGCAAATTAATAGCAGCCAAATAACCTAAATGCACGTTTCTAAATTAGTTTGAGCAGCTCTGAGGTGTGCAAAAGAACCGGGGCGTGTGGTTCTTGGGAAGATGCACAACGTCTCTCGCAGCACCAGAGGAGGGGAGAGATGCGTTCAAAATCCAGTGTCTTGAGTGGGGTATTTTTTGCGCGCCAAACTCGAGCTTGTAATGTCCCGCGGAGACTTTCCCGTTTCCTGGCGCAGCGAGCTTTTACCGGAGATCTGTGAATAAGAGCGTCGCATCTCATCGGATTCCTCGTGTCTGAACGAAGATTCCGATTCTGAGCTCAAAAACAAAAAGAGAGGACGATCCTGGGAAAATCAGGACAGGTGGCAGTTTGGGGAGTCTCTGCTGCAGGGCTGTCTGTGGGCATCGTTTCATTTGCCTTTGTGTTTCGACGTTCCTTTGGCCTTTCATTCGGGTTAATGTTTATCCTTGAGTAAGGGTCTCTGGTTAGCGTCGCCGCAATAAACTCTAAAAAAACCACCCACGCAGTGACATTAATAGGGGCGAGGGGAGTATATTCCTTACCGTATCGGAAGATTAGACACAAGTGTTCTGATCTCTTGGCCGCCGCCGCACACGCTCGTATTATAACCAGTGTGCCCACAACGTCTCAAAAAGCACTATGATTGCAGTAAAATAAACAATCGCATCCCGGTTAGGATTTGTTTAAAGACCGCAGGCACATACAGTGAGCCGAGGCAAACATTTACTCGTGCCTGGGTAAAGCTGACTGACCCCCCCCCGCCGCCGTGTTGAATGTGGGCTCTGAAGTGGCGTTTTCTACAAGGGGCCTCAAAAGCCCCCCCTTCCTCCTCCCTTGCCCTAGCCTAGCCCCAAACAGGTGCGGCGACGAGGCGGCATTCCTGTGACGGGAGAGCGGCGGGGAGAGAGACTTATCACAGGGGACGAGTGCAGGCCGTTCACTCAGTCGTCGCTAATTAATGAGGCAGCATTCCACGTGGAAAACGGCACCCGGGAAGTGGAAGGGGGGGGGGAAACGCACTTGGCGTGCTGCGGCAACGGAGGCGCATGGTGCGCGTTATGTCACAATTGTGTTGGCGGAGTGGGCGCGTGTGCGCGTTTTGTTTGTGCGCGCGCCCGTGTGTGCGTTTGGGTGTTTGTGCGTGTGCTCGCCTCGGCGGCGGCGCTGTGCCAGAAGTTACTTATTGTTAAATCGCACACCATGGGGCGAAGGTAATGCCATGCGGGCTGATCTGCAGATACTAATTTGTGGCGTGTGGGTGGGTCACCTGTCAATTGCGGTTTGATATCTGATGCAGATAAAGGCCAGCCGGAGATAGACGGCACGGATAATGGCACACGGAGGAGCCTGGGAACTCGCCCGTTCCTAACTGCCTCGTACAGACGTCGCATTTGTTTTTTGGGGGGCTTTGCGCTCGTAAATGGGGGTGTAATTACATAATTGCGAAGAATTTAATGAAGCCCTCCCTCACCATCCTGTGGAAGGACAGGGCTTTCCCCTGGTAATTGTTTCAGATAAACTGCCTGGCCTATTGTGATGAATCGCTTTCGGCAAGGTTTATTGCACGTGTTAGGGTGAACGGTTGTCTACACTATAAAGCACGGCAGGTTGTCCGCATTATAACCCACTTCCCTCCAATGCTCCAAATACAGTGTAGATATATGAATTAGACCCATTATATTGCATGCAAACCAATGCTACTGAAGTTGCAGAGTTTTAATACTGCAATCTCGGAAAGCAGTTTTTTTTTGTGGGGGGGGGGGGGGTGCTTTTCAAAGTAATTTCAATGCAATTCCAAGTTTAGACAACACATTTATTTAAAACAAACCTGCCAAAGAGTGGCAAATCTGGGTAGAATGACAAATCGTTTTTAAGCCTTAACAGTTCCCCCAGCCCGGTCCCCAAGTTAACACGTTCCACGGGCACACACTAAGTGGGCCCTCTGCCTCTCGTCAATTTTTCTCCTTCCACTCGGGAATTTATTATGTAATGTCAACAAAGCGCGCGGGCCGGTTAACGCCGCGCAAAAGTTTGGCGAACGTTAAACAGCAGGACGCTTGCGAGGCGTGCCTGCGCAGATGTCGTCGGTGAGCCAAGGATGGCCGACGCAGCGGCCGATTAAAAGGACTTTGCAATTAGCCTCCGCACTGGCGACGGGGCTGAAGGGTCTTTGGGTTTACACGCAGTCTCTTAACGGTACAGACAATACCAGCCAGCCAAGATAAATTGTTTACAGCTGGGGATTGTGTAATCCCGGCTCAGCGAGGGCTAGCGCACGTGTGTGTGTGCGCGTGCGCGTGCGCGTGCTTGCAGTGTTGTGGCTGGTCACTCAGCTCTCACAATGCACAGAGCGGCTCTTCAGCTGTTGAATACAACTCGCAACAATTAATCACTGAGGCTTATCACATTCTCGGAAGGGATTGAATTGTTGTAAATTGCCTTCAGTGCCACCGCTTCTCGTCTCCCTCCTACACTCACCGCTTGGGCCCTCTCTCCCTCGCTTCACACTGTGGCGATTGGTTTTTTAATAAACCTGGGGCTTGTCAGAAAAAAATGCATGACTTAATTTGCAGATTGATATTTTTTGTTTATTTCACTGACAAGGTGATACATTTTACGACGTAAAAAATACATATCTATTTTCAAGCTGTTTGTGGGCGTAGGTGTATTGTGGTTTGTGTATGTCAAATTATTTCTCACTTTAATATGTTTGGCCTCTCTTCCCAATTACGCCTCTATTTAATCCAATTAGTTTTTGAGGCTATCTAAAACGGAGGTGGGGGTGGCAGTGGTGGCTGTGGTGGCTGTGGTGGTAGTGGCAGAGTGGTTACTGCATTATGCTATGAACCTAGTTGTCTCGAGTGTGAGTGACGGTTATATTGAAGTATGGTCAGACAACTCCAGTGGCTGACACTTCATGGAGAGGGCTTCATCTAGCAATGGGTTCGTTATTGGTTGTAAATTAGCACGGTTGGCTACGTACGTTGCGAAAGAAATTCAACGTACATTATTTTTTTATCATTATTTTGGCCAAAACAAAAGAAAAAATGTATGTTGTAGTGCTGTGGTAATCATTACTTTTGAAATATCACACATTTTTTAATATATGCAAATATAAATAGAACATTTTCATGATTATATTTGTTCACGAGAGGTCACAATGTGCAATGGACATATGCACTGGTGACCTTGGAAGCCACTGGGTTCTCGCAACAGAAATCGGCGAGAACACGGTATCAGTGATATGATCGTAACTGGAATATGTCAAATTATTTCGACCATTGCTTTAACTTTGACAATTGTATCCATTTTATATCTGACTAGTTATGGGAATGTTGAATCACTGATTTTACTGTAAAGCCATCTTAGCCTCTGAATTGTTACCACTGCAGTACAAGGCACGAGTTCAGCTGATGTTGGAAGACTTTGGACACGTCTGAGGTAGAGTTCTGAGTTCCTACCAGACATTGATTAATATAATTCAATTGAATGCAGTTCCATTTTTTTGTCAATCCTGTGCTCACTGATTCAATCCAGCCATTATTTTATATTGCTACTACCATGGTTTTTGTTCTTACGTGAACATCATGCGTTTGCATCTCCACTTATATTTCGATTTAAAGCTTTTGTGACTGCAGGAATTCATATTCTTGGTTCTTTCGGTAAATTCACGTTGAAGGGAAATATTAAAATAATCAAAATAAAACAATTACATTCTCACGACGTTTCGATTGCAACACAAGCAATCATCATCAGGTGTGAAAACCACAGCAGGAACATTTTCTTGACTTTACAGAAAGAACCAAGAATATCTCCACTTATCTCAAGGACTTTTCGAACCATATCTGGCTGTTTCCTCTCGTCCGCTCTGTTGTCCATTTGCCATGATGCAAGTTGCAAAATTTCTACTTCTCATTTGACTTGGGAATTTTTGCTCATTATCCCTTTTTCCAAGTTCACCTACCCTTTCTCATGTCAAAGAATTACCAATAACTTCTTGAATGCTGCAATGTTGATATTGTTCCAAGTTCCCTGCTTTGGAACTCCATCCCATTGTCTCTCATCCGAAGTTGCTGTGAATGGAGAAAGAATGTAAAGGGGCAGCCCTGCATTTTGCTTGACCACACCACTGCTGGCAGAAGGAGCTCTAGAGAGCCCCTCTCGAGGCTATTTTGGCCTAATCTTCCACACTGGTCACCTCCGATTAGCACGGTTGGCTACCCACAGTGAGAAAAATAAGTTAAATATACATACAGACGTGTTGGTAAAGGCAGGAGTACTCACACTTTACCCCATCACACACAACCTGCCGATCGACTTAACTGTGGTGCACTCGTTTACACTGCTGGATGATTGAACCTACAGCCCCTGGATTGCAATTCCAGTGCGCTAACCATTACATCACGACAACATCCCTGGACCCTTATAACCTTGTTCAATTCCAGAAGCGTGTTAGTCATTATATTGCTGTACAATCAATAGCGCTCGCAGTTGCTGGCCGCTTTGCATTGTAGACTTCTGGGCCTGTGCTCAGCAACTTCGATGTTAAAAAAAAATCTTAACAAAGCCCTCTCAAGGCTGCAGTTTAGCAGCTGCGGGGAAGAAACACGCTCGCCTGGTAGGTGCGCGGACAGACGTGCGGAGTTCAAGGCAGGTTCCGCAAGTGTCACGGGCAATTTCAGACAACGCCTGCCCACAAACCCAACACGGGCGGCTGAAGATATCACTCCCCCCCCCACTCCCCGTCGAAGTGCAAAGCTTTGCCGCATCCCCCATGGAGCCCGGATCTCACCCTCTCAGATTTCCACCTCG